GGGAGGGCTGAGGAGGACAGCAGAGGCATCTGCCGATGGCCTGAAGGAGCCACTTAGCTTCCAAAGGCTGTGCTGAGCCAGGTGACAGAAGCAGGCCCAGATGGAGAGCACAGAGGCAGACAGTGCGGACAGAACCAGAGAGAGGAAAGCTCTAATGGGAAGCTCGCTCAGAGAGAGTGAGGTGGCAGAGAGGCTCCAGACACATGCTGGTAGAGCCGCACAACTCGGGCTGGCTCTGTTTTCTGGGAGCAACGGGAGCTGCAGGAGGGCTCTCGGTGCGGGGCGACGGGTGGGGGGTGGTGCTGGAGGGATGGGAGGTGCCTACACACCAAAGGGCACATGGGGCAGGTGGGAGCAGGCTTGGGGCTGGGCCATGTGACCTGCTCGCCCCCCAAGGAGGGAGGCCTGGAGACGTCCTTCAGTTTACCCCCTCCTTGCCGCTCAGCCTCCTGGGCTCCTCAGCGATGGAGGGAGGGGGCATGGGACTACCTGTCCTTACCCTGCAGCAGTCTCTGAAGCCCCAGGAATGACAGCAGAACGCCTCTCCCTGGCATCCTTTCCTTCTCAATGCCACAGTGCCTCCTTCCCGCTGTGGAACTTACAAAGCCCTGGGGATGCTGCCTCCCCAGGCTGACAGCAGCCCAGACCTGGGGAAGTTCTGCATGTGCGGAGCTGAGTGTGGGTTCCTCAGAAGTGCCAGAGGCCCTGCAGGCCCCTATTACCCCAGGCTCAGACCCAAAGGGCTGGATACCTCCACCCTCATCAGGTGCTTATGGGACAGAGAAGCTGAGTGCGGTCCTGAGCCCGGAACAAAAACAGCTTCTGTCAAAAAGGTGGTCTGTCCCCTCATTTCCGGGAAAGAGAAGGAAAGGAAAAAAGGCAGGTGGAGGGCTCCGGCTCCATCTTCCTTAGCCTCTCAGGGGCTCTCAGAGGGGGCAGACCTGCGGGCACAAAGGGCGGGTGCAGACACCATCATGGTATCTGTGTTCCTCTGTCTGGGAAGGTAGAGGACATGGTTGGAGCAGAGAAAAGAAAGAAACAGTGAGACAGCAGAGCGGCAGACAGACAGACGGACAAGCCCCGAGAGGAGATGGGAGACCAGCCCCAGCACAGCCAGCCTCGGGGTGTAGGGTCGGGGTCTACCTTGTATGAAACTCGAGCAGGGCATTTCTTCCCCAGCCCCAGGGATGGGGACATGTGTTTCAGCATCTCAAACATGTCATTGTAACTGATGAGCCCACTGGAGACCCGGCCCAGAGAGGCAGAGGCAGGATGGGGTCCACAGGAAGGGGTGCGGCGGGAGGGGGGCGGGGGGAGGAAGCAGACAAGAAAACAGATCCAGTTAACCAGCGTCAGATTACATGCCAAAAGTCAAAATATGTAAAATGAGGGACTTCTCTGCTTGACTCAATCCCCTCCTTGCCCCTCCCAGCCTCACCTCCACACTCCAGCCCCACGCAGGGCAGTGGGCAGGGGTGACATCTGAGCTAATGAACATGGAGGGATGAGGAAGGGCTGCATCGGGGCGGCTTTGGGTTGTCAACTTCTGATTTTACACTTTTAGAAACCACAGATAATGCCAAATCAGAAAAGAGCTGTTTCACCATGCCGGGAGAGCCGGCAGACAGAATTACGTGACTGATGAGGCCGGCCTGAGAACCAGGGCAGAAACATAGCTTTCCGTAGTGCTCAATTTGCTTCCAAGTTAGCCTACAGGCTAAAGAAGTGGTGAAAACTCTAAAACAAGCCAGAAAACTAGAGCTGGGGGAGCCCCGAGGCTCTAGAGACAAACATGATGGGTGAGTCCTGCTCCAAGACCAGAGACGCCCGAGGCCGCCCAGGGCAGGGCTGCTGCTGGGAGTCAGGGCTGGACAGGAAATGGGAGACCTGCGGGTTGATGGGGGGGCAGGGGCGTGGTGGGCAGCTGGGGTGGGATGTGGCTTGGAGCCACTCTTACACCCTCCTGTCCACACCAGGGACAGGGCTGGGCCCAACACACGGGACAAGGCTCCGGATCCAGGGAGGTGTCAGGGGGCCAATGACTGTGTCTTCCGAGGTAGACAGGCCACCAGGCCTGCAGCCTCACCTCCACCCCTGGAGACACCTGCCTATGGGACCTGCTTGGGGTCCCAGAGACGGGGTCGGGTTCAGGCCACCCAGGAGAGAAAGGGGACAGCTTTCTCCTGGCAGGCACAGCTGCCGCAGGGCCTGGCCCTCCTCCCAGGGTTCCCAGCCTCAGCTGAGTGGATCGATCCAGAGGTGAAGCAGGAGGGCCCGTCTTTGGGCCTCCACTGCCTCTGTCCTCGCCTCCCTCGGGGACCAGAAACCCTCGGTTGTCAGGCTTTTCAGACTGGGAGGGGCCGCTCCTCCTGGTCTGCTTGTGCCCATGCTCTCCTCCTCTGGGGCCCTTGGCCTCCAGCCTGTCTGACCATTAGCCCACCCTGGAGAGCCTGGAGGCAAAGCCGGGAAAGACAGCTGTTTCCTCGGGCACAGGCAGGGCCTGGCCCCCAGCTCCCACCCAGCAGCCGACCCCTGCCCTCCAGGCCCAGCCAGAAAGCTTCCTGTGCACTGCCTCAGAAGGCGGCCTCTCCCTAGCCAGCGGGAGGGGTCGGGAGATCAGATGGGGGACCAGAGCATCCAGGAGGTTGGAGTGCGGGGCAGCGCCGGACAGGAGGAAAGAGAGGTGGGGTTTCGTCATTCCCAAACCAGGCCGGAAGTGCATGCAGCATTTGCATTTCGGCAGGGAAGAGTATGTCCGAGGGAGGCTCTGAAGTTGCAAACCTTGTAGGCCAACCGACAAGGGCAGTTCTTCCCTAAGCCAACGGGTGGCGCAATACAACTCAACAAACCCTACATATCCTTACAATGAACCCGGCAACTGGAAAGGAAATGTCACAGGTTATGGAAACCAAGGCACGATGAGCCCGTCCCGCCGCCCACCCAGCCTGCGACAGGAAGAGGAGCCGGGCGGCTGGACAGGCAGCTCCCTGCAGGGAATCCTGGGGCTCAGAAAGCCCCGGGAGGCAGGGCAATCCCAAGACCATTTCCAGAGCCTGACGCGGGCAGGAGGCACACCATACAGAACCAGTGCTGGCCCCTGTCGCAAGCCCCCACTGTGCACGCACTGGAACCACTGGTCCGCCTCCCCCCGGGTCTTGTTCGCCCACCCTCTCTGGCAGCCCCTCCTCTCGCTCCCTGAGTTCCGGAGACCCCACGCCTGGCTCTCCTGACCGTCTCTACCTCCTGCATCTCCTGGAGTCTGCTGGCCCGCTAAGGACCCCCTAGTCCCAGGGTGGGCACCCTGGCCAACACCGACGTTTCTCTTTCCTGTCCAGTCAGCTCCAAGTTACTTCTGCAAAAGAGGGAAGAAAGAGGAAGCCCCACTTTGGCCTCACCCAAGGTGCTTGCTAACTCACTGGACCTAAAGGATCATGACGAAGGGTCTGGAAGCATGGTGAAGCCCCCAGCCCCAATAATCACCCAACCCAATTCACAGCCTGTTCTCTGGCTCATCTTCTCTCTTCCACCATCGAATCCCTCAGACGGCACCAGATGGAAAGTGGGGGCACCATACTGTCACTGCAATGCAAAAAACTGTCCTCGCTGTCTGTAAAGCAAAGTCAAAGCTCCTTGTTTATCCCAAATTTCAAGACCTCCTCAACCTGTCCCAGCCGCCCTTCCAGCCCCTTTGCAATGCGTTCTCTTCTCCATCAGACACAATCAGACCCCCTTCCCTTCAGCCCTGGCCCCAACCTCTTCTCTAGAGCTCAATCCATCCTGCCCTCTTCAGTTTGGCTCAAATGCCACCTCCTCTGACTCACCAGCCAGATGGGGTTTCTCCCTCCTCAAACACCCCGGGCTCACACTATGGCTCCTCTGTTCTCCCACAGTTCCGCTGGACTCAGCATCCCGAGAGCATGTGCTTGCTTCACCTACACACCCTGGTCCCCAGCACACGGCGGACATTCAGGAATGTTGACTGGTCAGATGGAGGAACACAAAGATGAGTAGACAGATCGCTTACAGGTGTGATTGTGATTCTCCTCTCGATTCTATCCTTCACCAAGTGAGGCAACAGGGAAGATGGGAGAAGGAGGCACCAGAAAGCAACAACCCCACGCCTTCTTCATCTCCCACGCCTTCTTCATCTCCCCACAGCAGGCATGTGTGCACACACATGTGCACATACATACTCATGCACACCTGCATTCACACACATGTGCACACACAAGCATGCATGCCCGTGTACACCCATGCACACGGGCATTCACACACCCATGCACACATGCACTGCACTCACACATCTGCACACAATCACGTGTGCCCCCGTGTACCCATACACACAAACCATGTGTGTGCGCATATGTACACATGTATGTCTGCTGCACAAGCACACACACGTGCACACAGGCACACACAGTGCACACAATCACGTGTGCACGCTCATATGCATACACACAAACCATGTGCATATACACCCATGCACACACACGTGCACACAAGTACTGCACTCATATTTGCACACAATCACGTGTGCACGCTCGTACGCATACAATCCATGTGCGTGTGTGCACATGCACACATGTCTGGTACACATTCACACACATGCACTCCGCTCACACATTTGCACAATCACGTGTGCACTCTCATACGCATACACACAAACCATGTGTGTGTGCGCACATGCACACGGGTATGTCTGCTGCATACATGCATGTACGCATGCCACATGTGCAAACACACCCATGCACATATGCAAGACGCACACATGTGTACACTTGTGCACACACGCACAGAGCCATACACACATATGAAAGCTTGGGAAATTTCACAAAGTTTTGTTGTTCCTTAAGTCTCTCCAAGAACGAGGAGACAGCAGAGTGGCCACCTGGGATATAAAGCGGACCACATCCCGACATCTGCCACGGAGGCTAGGAAGGGCTCAAAGCACCCTTGGTCCTGTGCCCAGGACTCAGTCTCCTCAGCTGCCTCTGCTGGGCCTTCCCCTATCCCCTGCCATCTGGAGGCAGGATATGTTTTCAGCCCAGGCCACATGTGGGAGCAGCAAGTCCGAGTGTTAGTTGCGGGTCACATTTTTGCTACTTTTGGACCATTGTCTTGTGTGCTATTTCACAGATGCCACCTCTGGGGTGACGCTTCTATTTGCTGTCTACTCTTCCACAGCACATTCTTTACCCCACTCCCAATGGACCCTGCCTTCCAGAGGCCCCATTTTCAGAACTCTGGATTTGGGAAAGAGTCTGAGCCCCCTGTGCACCATCACAAAACCACAGTCTGGCCCAAGTCCATTTCCTGTATGTCTAAATTCTGCTCCACCTGTGGCTGGAGTAGGGGAAGCCCTGGGTCTACAGTTCATAAAGATTTGGGGGAAGTCCTCCCCTCTCACAGGCCTGCACTGACTTGCCTTTCTCTTGCACATATGGACATACTGCCCATACAGCATCTCTGCTTCCCTGCAACACACCCTTTAGAAACAACGTGCCTAGCGCTCCCTTTGGCAGCACATATACTGGAAACAATGTGCCCAGAAACAGCAGCATCTCTTGAGACCACAGTGCAGATGACCCTCCTAGAATGAGCCTCAAGCCTGCCTCACTTGGAGTCTCTCCTGCTCTCTGACCTGACTGGGCCCTCCTGACCAGAAAACCCACACCTACTCCTTAGCCAGAATGAGACTGGGCTCTGCAGGGCCAAAGTGCTGACACATCAGCAAAATGACAGGACTCTCCGAGGCCACAAAAACGGTCACCTACACCATGAAACATAAATAAAAGCCATGCTTGTTCTGCACTGCGTGAAAATTATTCCATTTTCACTACAATGGAAAACACCCAGAGACACTACAGGAATGGAAATGCCCTAGGGTTGCTGGTGCTACCAGTGGTTTCAGGACTTGCCCAGCCTGGGAAGGGTCTCATACAGCATCTTCTGGATCCTCACATGATGGGGTAGGGGCTCCAGGAAGGCTGGATGAGAGGAGGGTGGGGGAGCCCAGCCAAGCTCCCAGGGGCTTGAGGGTCACAGAGCTCTGCAGTAATCGCCTTGCTGAGGCCCAATTTAGGGAAAAACTGTGTGCAGTAGGGTCCTCCCCACGACGGCACTGACCATCTCCTCCAGGCCTCTACCACATAAGGGGTGACCAAACACAGAGCTGTGTGAGGGGGACACAGGCAGGCTGGGAGACTCGGAGAGAGGAGGTGGGAAGTGTACACCCCATCTTCACAGTCTTCTCATTCCCTTCGAGCGTGGGAAGGGATGGATGCCCATCCGTTTACTGATGCACCGTTCATTCACATTCATGTCTGCTGAGCGCTCACCATGAGCGAGGCGATGAGCAGGCCTGTGCCTTCCCCAGCAGCCAGGTCTCTTGGCCCCTCCATGTCCTGTGTTGGCCTTGCAGAGAGCATGCCCTGAATAACTACTCAAGTATCCGCTTGAGAGAGTGAATGAATGAATAAGCAAGTGAAGAAGCGAGTGATGAAGGAACAGACAAATGGGCAGATGGTGAGTCCATGCTGCTTTGCTAGCCCCGAGGATAAGAGTATGTGTCCTGGGTGTGCAGGACTCTCCCATGGATCACGGAACACCCTTCTAACCCAAGCCAGTCCCCTCATGACATACTTGCTCTGTCTGGAAACAAACTACCCCTCACTTAATGCAACACAGTAACCCTTTCCCACCATGACCAAAGGGTCTTCAACATACTAGACCCTTCCTGGTAGCTCCTTTAATTTCAGTGATAGCTCACCAAACGCCTGCTTTTTGCAGCCGGGGCTGGGGACACAGAGGTGCATGTTGGCTCCTGTTCCCAAGAGATGGCAGAGAGGGGAGGCCTGAGCCCATCTGTGGGAAGAATGTCATTTCTGCCAAGAAGGCCTCCAAGCTTCATGAAGATGGTGACGCCCCAAGGGAAGGCCCTGCTGCTGTATCCACACCCTCTCCCTTGAGCCCTCCACGCCCCTCATGTGACAGACCTGTGAGGAGACAGTACACTCCCATTTGGCAAGACCTGAGCCTCCCAGACCCCTTGGAACCCACTAAGCGCGGGACTAAGTGTCTCACAGAGCATTTCTCAGCCCAGGGAGCTGTGTAAGAGCACTGTGGGCATGAGAAGGAGCGTGCCGCCTAGAAGGGGACCTGGCACCACCCTCTGCGGACCCCGCCAAAACCTGAGGGGGTTGGACAAAACCTGTGTCACATGACACAGGTCTGAAGGCACGCAGCCCTGTCCCGAGATCAGTGGCATGGACCACCCTGAGGATCACGGAGCACGGGGGCCACTCACCATGTGGCCGGGTCATACTCAGCCCAAACCCAGATGAACTCGTCCAGGTGGTGAGGCCCTAGGATGGAAGACTCCCGTGTAACATACTCAAAATTGCCCGTGATCACGGCCACAAAGTGGTTCAACATCTGCAGGACAGGAAGGAGAAGGAGTGAGGTATTGAGACCTCAGCCCGCCCTCTACCCTAGCCCTTACCCTCCAGCCAAAGTCTGTGCAAAACCATCATGGCAGCGGAGGCCACTCTGACTCAGCCAGAGCCCATCCAGCCCTGCTCCCCCTGGCCTCTGGGCCTCCCCTGCACCACCACTACCACCAGCCCCCGCAGCAGCCAACCTCCTACCCCAGGGTTCTGGGTCCCGTAAACTAACCCAGGCCCCTCCCACTCCCTGCTTCTGCTGCCCTACCCTAATTCATGTTGGCACCCCTCCCGCCGACCTCCCATCACCACCCTCTTCCCCACATAGCCGGCCTTCAAGGAAAACAGTGACTTTGGAGTTAGTAGTTTGGACTCCAGAGGCCAAAACTCAGCTTCTTTTTTCTGTAATTGAGTTGAAATTCACATAACATACATTTA